ATTCTTAGTTTTTACATTTCTGATTCTAGGAATTTTTTTTATACTGAAAAACATACTTAAGAGCATTTAACTCAATTTGGATTTTTGTGTTGGGGTTTTCTTTTGCTTCATGACTGGCTTTTATGGGCAGAATTTTCATCAGCTGATTTTTGTTTTGTTCTTACAGTATTGTGCACTGAGTTTAATTCTTTTTCTACTCCCAGGCATTTTGTGGACAGAGTTCTTAGTTCAGGAGTACCTTCATCTTCCTCTCAAAGAGAAAAAAGGGTTGCCACACCAGGCAGGAGTGGGGTAGAGGGACAGACAGGGTTCTCCTGGGGCAGTGGTTCTGTGCTACCTGTGGTAAGGGACCAGTTTTTAATTTTTTTTTAATTTTTTAATTTTTTTTATTTTTTAGTATATGTGCTGCCAGAGTGAGGACCCAGTTTTTAATTTTCATTTCACTTCTGTTGTGGGGACCAGTATTTTTCGTAAAATACAATGAAAATGAATTACTCTGAAAACGAGTATTTTTAAATGACCCCCAAAATACAAGCCCAGTTGTTTTATTTAACAGATAAAATTGCATTTTAATCAGTATAATCAGAAGAAACAAAGGAAAAAATTATAAAAACTGTACACATTAATTGAAAGTGAACATATAGGCAATTAGTAATCACTATTATATTCATAACTTGATCATTACACAGTTATAACTAAGTAACAGTTAATGGTTATGAGACAAAGCAATTCTCCCATATCTGATATCTATATGTACTTTGAGCAAAAACCATGTAGATTATTTTTTAAGGTTTTAAATGTGACCGGTAAGCTTATTTGCTTGTCAGCTTACCTAATTCATGTTGGATGGAGGACAGTGCCACACGTAGGGGTGACACGGAACTGGATAACTTCTCTGTTTGTGTATGTATTTATAGTAGAGAAACTAGAGTTATGTTGACAGAAAGGAAAGAAGCTATTTTAAATAATTCAGCAAGCTCAGGGTATTTAATTTTCATCCAAACTTAAAGGAAGTGATGACTTAGTTCCAAAATAGGTCTTCACATCTTCAGTTCTAACAATTTGTGATGTAGAAGTTAAATTTTTGTACGTTGGGGTAACAGTTGGCAAACCTCAAAATACCTCCCACAAGGACATGGTTTTGTTTGCGTGACTGGGACGCAGCTCGTTCCATGTGGGGCTCACTGTGCAGGCTTTCCGCCCAGACTGCTCTGTGGTCTGTAGCGCGTTGATCTGAGAGGAGTCTGCCGATCGCGTGTTTGGCTATCACGTGACGTCACATTGCAATAAAACTTATTAGCGCGGGTCCCCATTTCCGTACCTACCGCCACACAGACTGGAACAGCCCACAGTTTGGCGTCAGTCCGAGGGCCACTCTAAGCAGCCCACTGAGTCTGCTGGCAAGTTTCTGGACGATTCCTTCAAACTTAAGGGATAGAGGGTTTCTGCGATGAGTGAAGGACTACCTGAGATGTTCGCTGAAGGTAAAGGGAACATGAAAGGAGTAGACCAAGAAACGTCCTCTCAAATCCAACTCTGACCTCGTTCCCTTGTGAAGCAACGAGAGCAGCTCCCCCTAATTTCTCATGTTGTTGCGTGTGTATTTACGTATTCCAGCCAATACCACTTGTTCTTTCCTTACTTGTCCCCCTCCCCACCCATCTTCCTCTCCATCGTATAAGTTTGCTGGTGATTAACTTGAAAATTCATTCCATAAATATGTGGTGCCAGAAAGTAAAGAAGTGCTCAGAAAATGATAGGGAGATGTCAAGAGGATATAGGAACCAACCAAAGGGTCCCCCAGTGACCAAATCTGGGACAACTATGCACCAAAAAGGACAGTATTGGATTGTGACACAGAGCCTAAGATATCCATCAGTTCATGCTGGTGTAAATAATGGAAGAAATAATGGGGAGAAGGGAAAGCTCTTTACAGAATTCCAATTAATAAATATAGAATGAGGGGAGCGCCTGGGTGGCTCAGTGGGTTAAAGCCTCTGCCTTCGGCTCAGGTCGTGGTCCCAGGGTCCTGGGATCGAGCCCCACATCGGGCTCTCTGCTCAGCGGGGAGCCTGCTTCCTCCTCTCTCTGCCTGCCTCTCTGCCTACTTGTGATCTCTGTCAAATAAATAAATAAATCTTTAAAAAAATATATAGAATGAGGGAAATAAAAACATTATTTGGCAAACACCACAATAATTCTTTCAGGCAAGAATATCAGTATATGCTAGAATGGGTGAAAGATAACAAATGAAATATGTCTTTTTTTTTTTAAGATTGATTTGTTTGATAGACAGCGAGGGGGAACATGGGAGTGGGAGAGGGAGATGTATGGAGCCTGATGCGGGGCTCAATCCCAGGACCCTGAGATCATGACCTGACCTGAAGGCAGACACTTAACAACTGAGACACCCAGGTGCCCCTGTAAGTCTTTTTTTTTTTTTTTTTTAATTTTATTTATGTATTTTAGAGATAGCACAAGTGAGGAGAGTGGGAGAGGGGAAAGGAGACAGAATCCTCAAGCAGACTCCCCGCTGAGTGCAGAGTCCAACATAGGGCTCGATCTCCCAACCCTGAGACCCTGACCTAAGCCGAAATCAAGTCAGATGCTTAACCTACTGAGTCATGCAGGCGCCCCACTTCTCCAGTATTCTTTCCAAAAGCATATAACCTGGATTTCATCATGAGTAGTTATCAAACCCAAAGTGAAGGACATTCTGACCCTTACACTTCAAAAATAAACTCTCCCAGATTAAAGAAGCCTAAGGAAACACGAGAACTAAATGCATTGTATGCGTCTGAACTGGATTCTGGGCCAACAAAAGGTCCTTAGTAGGACAGTTGGTATAATTTCACCAAACTGTTACTGCTGTTTGCAACCAAGAAAACTAGGTAGGACATGTCCATGGGACGAGACAACCATGGGTCCATGCAGAGCTCCTTGAATTTAGTACTGTTGTTCTATTAAGCCTTCACAAACCTTAGAACATGGTAGTGCACTTAAGACTCATTTCCACAAACCTGGAGTATTACCATCCCCATGATGTTGATTTAAGAACTTTGATTTGGGGGGTCCTGGGATTGGGCCCACGTCAGACTCCCTGCTCAGCAGGGAGTCTGCTTCTCCTTCTGCCCTCCTCCCCCATGCTCTCGTTCTCAAATAAATGATATCTTAAAAAATAAAACTGATTCAGAGAGTGAGGGATTTGCCCGAGACTGTTCAGCAATTAAATGGTGACATGGTGAACTGAATTCATCTGTAGGACTGTTGAGGCATTTTAAACCTAGTGCGTCTAATGGCCTTCTCCAGCAACTGTTGTTCCAAGAAACCATTCCATAGTCTTTCTGTCACAAAAAGGCTACAAAGAAACTGCCCAAGCCCAAGGTTAGGAGGCTTGATGCCACTGCAGGACTCAGTAGGCCTGGCCACTGACCCCAGTTCCTGTGTCCCTTAGAAATTGTTGAACAGGGGCACCTGAATGGCTCAGTGGGTTAAAGCCTGTGCCTTTGGCTCAGGTCATGATCCCAGGGTCCTGGGATTGAGCCATGTGTCAGGCTCTCTGCTCAGCGGGGAGCATGCTTTCCCCCCTCTCTCTGCCTACTTGTGATCTCTGTCAAATAAATGAATAAAATCTTTAAAAAAAAAATTGTTGAACATCCATTAAGAATTGAGTTCATGGCTTCCACTGGTACCAGTGAGAATGTGTTCAGATGACCATTCCTTCAAAACAGGCATAGCCAAAGAGTATAATTCAATTCTGTATCATTCCTAATCGAATTAGGCCCTAAGCAGTACTTAACACATGCAGAATCTCAGATTTTTATAAACCAGGAATAGTCTACCAATTAGATATAAAGGGATTGGGTTTTTTCAGCTTGTCGGTAGAAGTCTGTCATGAGTCTAGCTTTCCTGCCTCTCACACAAATCTCGACACTGTGATTTATGTTCCTGAACAAATTAGACTTAAGAGCAAATCATCAGCAACAGGTGTAATAATCTTGGCAGAACATTTGTTTTAATTAATTGCTTTCTGCCTAACAGATAGAAGGGTGCTGATGCCATTTACCCTCTAAGGATAGTGCTGTCATGTAATTCTTTTCTCCCCTAGAACAGTCTCATCAGTTTTAAATTACAAAGACACTGGTTTACCTCATATGTAACCACAACCTTCTACGGCAGTGTTTATATGAGAAACTTGTGAAAGAAACATGGATTTGTAACTACTCTGCAGCCTTATGGATTCCTGGTTTCCCAAATATAGGCCCTGTTGAGGGGCCAGGCAGCTAAAACACCCTCACCCCATAAACCTGCCAGGCAGTAGTGGTAGAGAATAAGTGATTTTGAACAGTGTCTCTCTTCTGGGTGAAGGTGCTTACTGGCTTGACCATTTGTGTTAGATGAGACAAAAAGAGAAACCTTCCTCTCTGGAGCCTTAATACTGTTACTGTTAAAGGCATCGTGCATTAAGTGGTAAAGACGCAACTAGCTTGACGCCCATCTTTTCAAATCTGCTAGCTTCAGTGTTATTTAGGAAGGATTTGGTGATTTTTCCAAAGAGGCACAGAAATGGCTCATACTAAACCCAAGCAGGGCTCCCAGGGGCAGGGCAGCACAACCCTCAGACTGATTTTGCTACATAACCATGAAATTTAAAATTCTAATAAGTCTTTAAAATTGTAATCTTTAAGCCTTTATCTTAGATAGTCCCTTATTTTGACCAATTACTTACTCATCTTTTAAATACTATAGGGAAATTTAAGCTTTCCACACCTAAAGTCTAGTGTGAATTCACATATTCTGTATAAATTCAATAACAAGATGGTAATTAAAATGTCTTCCTTGTCTTGATACTGAATCTTAGGAGGCAGCGAGAATAAACAAATGTAAAAAAAAAAAACAAACAAACATGAAACCGTTTAACAGCCAATTCTGATTAAATAAAACCCTGTTAGGATTTTATAAATTAAAATAGATTTAGTATTGAAATAACACAAATTTAGAATCATTATTAACTTTATTTGTCACTCTTTATAGACAGTGGTCCACTTCCACATGAAAAGTAGAGAGCATCTACTTCCACTTAATATTCTAGAGGATGATGTACCACAAGCCATTAATAGTAACGTACACAGAGGAAAGTTACTAAAATACATTTTTTATAGTCAAGCCCCAAGATATCCCCCCAAAATTGGTTTTGGGGTATATAATTACAGATATCTGTAACTCCACAAAGCTGGTTTCTTTTTAGATCAATGTATTTTTAATATCCACCCCACGATGTGGATCATCAAACTTGCAGAAGAGGTTAAAACACAGCCACCCTCTGTCTGTCAGGTGCAGTTCTCAATCTCAGTCACTGGGGAAGTACTCCCACAGTTTAGGGCTACTTGAAGTTAACCACCTCCTGTCTTGTTTCAGAAATATTTACATCAGATTAAGACATTTACAAATGGTTCATGGTATAGAACAGCCCAAATGTCATTTTCACCTAGCCTGTGTAAGGAAGTTAAGCACTCCTAAGTTTGTCTAATAAATTCAGTGCATTTTCCCCAACATAAATAATACAAGCTATTCTAAATGTTTTACATTTATTTCAGTGCACATTTCCAATGTTAAATGGAATGAAATTGTATTAAATGGTTATATTTGAGCATATTATGGACTCTATAGCACACAATTCACATCAATACTATAATTCACTCTAAAAGAACATCACAGGCACACGGAGAGCAAAAATTTTTTTTTTTTATATAAATTTGAAGTATACCATCTACTTTTAAACTACACTAAAAGATTTAATAAAACAGCCAATTTCCAAACCCCTTTTCTAAGTCTGGCTTGAGGAAAGTTCAATCCATTCGAATCTTCTGGTTTGTCATCCTATAAATAATGCTGTCATATCCAGGATCCATGTTCCAGATATTATAAGAGGTGATAATCACAGCCAAGGCCAAGGCGATCATTATCCAAAGTACCATGTTGAAAACCACTGGATATTCAAGGTTATACTTATATGCGAGGTTATAGGGGCTCGATGGGCTCTTCTACAACGAAGAAAAGAGGGAAGAATTTTAAGATCGGAAATTATCCCCATTTGGTAGCTCTGATTCGTTTATCCAACATTTATTCCTAGGTGGCATTAAGACATGCTTACACCAGGAGAAGCCAAGAAGGGGAGCCTTCTTGGAAAGGGGAAATGCATGGTCAGTGGAAGTCTAAGCCAGTCCAACTGCTTGAGAAAATGTGGCGACACCAGTATGGTCAAAGTGTGTGTATCCTGTGATCCAGCAAGTCCATGCCCTAGGGAAACCTTGTGTGTGTACCCAGAGCCACGCACAGCCACCTCCATTAATAGCACGGAAAATGTGGCAGGTCCACACAACGGGAGCCTGTGTGCCTCTGAAACGAGACCGGGCAGCAAACACAGAAGACGAGCAAGCAGGATTCAAGTGCCCGTAAAACCAAACAGTGTTTAAGGATGAAATCCATTCCGTGGTCAAGCTGTAAAGAAATCAAGGGCAGGACTCACAACTTGGGACAGCAATTACCGGCAGGGGGGCACAGGGGTAGCCCTGGGAGGCTCAGAGGAACAGGTATCGTATTCCCTTCCCCCCATGTTATACACTTAAGTATGCTCCATTTTAATTTTAAAGAGGAACACAAATGGCTCATTCAAGCCCGTCTTCCTCCTGCGAGGCCAAGGTGGAGTCTATCTACTGCTGGGCAAAGGCACTAGCCTTTGCTAGCCTTTAGTTGTTCGGGAGACTTCTTTCACTCCGGCTGGAAAACAAAGCAAGGAGGAAAACAGCAGATGTGGCTAGACGCAGGTAAGGCACGGGCAACCTGGCCCTGAGCCTAGGCGCAGGGAGGAAACGTGCAGGAATGAGTGACAGGGTCAGGTTTGTCCTAAAAGGACATAGAAGAAAATGGCGCCCCAAAGCCCCAGCAACTAGCACGCTATAGGCACCCGAATGTTTCCTTCAACCTGGACTCTCTCCCTCAGACTGGAGAGAGTGATTTCAGTGGGAGAGAGAGGGTGGGCAGTCACCCGTGTGGGGAGCTTAGGAGACAAATGCAAAAGGATTTCGCTCCTGAAGACCACTTTCTTTTGGGGGGCAATCAGGTTCTTTCTCCCTGTGTACAACTCCTTGCACCTTAGTATGTTCCCAGAGCTGCCCAGCCGTTACCACCATCTAGCTGCAGGACGTCCCCGTCACCCTACGCGGACGCTCAAGCTGAGCGCCTCGTTTCCTGGGGGGGCTGGGGAGACCGCACACACAGAGCTGAGGGGCAGAACGGTCTTCCCAGGGATGCTGGGCACCAGCCTCTCGTCTCCAAGTGCTTTAGTCTAGTAGAATGAACAAATACGACATTGCAGTTTTCAGATTACACATAAAATGTTAATTCACTTTGAGTTCCTCTTCTTTATTTGCTCCCTAAGAATGTCTGTCTTGAGAGCTAAACTGTGCTCTCAAAAGCTCTTTACATTTTGTCAGTATTTCTAGATGCTCTGTACTGGGAAAATTTTCAGGATCGTCTAGCTTGCCATATGGTCTTAAATACAGGTCCTCCCACGCCCATTAGAATGAAACCATCTCTAACCAGGCACATCTAGATTAAGTCCCACACTGAGATCAGTAAATAGGCTCATAAATAAATAAAAGGGGAGTGTCTATCAATGACTGTAGCTACCGGCTCCAAGCTCTGAGGCCAACAATAAGTAAGGTTCTTGGCCACAAATGTTCTGGAGCGTCCCCAGAGCTGCTCTGGTTTACATGCAAGGTACACACAAGCTTTGCTATGGCTGGTGCCCTGGCCTAGGACCCTCTAAATGCTTCCGATCAAAGCAAGACTGAGGCCAAAAACTTGCAGACGTAAATCAAATCCTTAGGCGTACGCACAGCAGATGCTGGAAAATGAGGGACTGGTCCACACAGACAACACACCTGCAGGAAAAGCAGACTCCAGGTGCGGAATCCTACATCGCACTCCCCCACATTCACTTCTGAGGTCTTCCCGTAAGAGCAATGTTTGAATAATCTTACTGGCTCTGACAGACTTCCCCCCAACTCAGATTCTTGTATCATCTGATTACAAACAACCTGAGCCTCACTGTCAAAATACACATGCCTATGTGGATAAGCAATGCAGGTTTTCACTGAAATTGCTTCCCAGATTTACTGTTCATCCATGTCGCCACAGGTGACTGAGGATTTAGTGGGTTTTTAAATTTTACAGTTTTAAAACAGTCTAAAAATGTACTCACCGCTTGTTTTGCCTCAAGAATAGTCCTTGTCTTCCTGACAAGAGAGGTGTCAAATGATCTGACAGTCACTAACTCCACCACCGCATTCCCGCCATAAAGGCTGTACATGTCATCTGCAAACTGAAGACTTACTGACATTACTACGAACCACGAACAGGCATTTCATGAAATAGTGTGCAAGCTCTGCGCACCCACGAGAGTATACACTCCCCTACCGGCCAATGAAATATGCGGTCTTAAAGGTTTGACCGTCAAAATACTCAGATAAGTGTTCATCTTCAACATATATTCATTCAAATGCTCAAAATAAAATTGAGACAAGTTGTTGGCATATAAATTGGGGGAAGGGAAGTAGGAAAGGGAAATGAAATTTTTCCTAAGTGCTCGCCGGTTAATCACAAACACCTATAGAATTTACCTCACTGAAGAGCTGCAGGAGAGCAACTCCAAGGCCAGAGACGAACCAGCAGTTACCACACGTCTACTCAATGTCTGGTTCTGTGCTCAGGGTTTTCCTCCCATGATTTCATAGGGTTGATGGGGACAGAGTTTTGGGTAGGAAAGAGAAAAAAATTCTGGCAATGGATGGTGATGACAGTTGCACAATGTAAATGTGCTTAATGCTACAAAACTGTACACTTAAAATTTTATATATTTTTCACAATTAAAAAAGTACTATGCTGGAGTTATTGATCCTTTCCTCTGCCATCTCTGCCAGCATTAGAGACATCCCAGCGCACACCACTGAACCACTCCAAGCTTCGTCACTAAAATTAGAGGTCCTCCAAAGGGGAGACTTCAGACTTCCATGAAGAAGCGGGAAGTGAAACGCTCATACTCTAACCTCTCCCACCCCATCAAAGATTTACCTTTTGCAGAGCATCAACAAGGATCTTGGAAGCATCTCTGAATTGTTCAGAATCTTCCCCATAATGCTTCCCAATTTCATCCAAACCGGCCAGCTCCAGCGAATATAAATCAGGAGAATGATCCTTGGCTAGATGCTTATGTCGAGACAACTGACAACAAACAAAAGGAAGTGGATAAAGTGATGTCAGACACAGGGTTTATATCGAACTCAGCTAGGCTGAACCGGGGCGGGGGGGTGGGGGGCACGGCTCAGTCTTCTGCTCAGGTCACGATCCCAGAACCCCAGGATTGAGCCCCACATCGGGCTCCCAGCTCAGCGGGAAGCCTGCTTCTCCCTTTCCCACTCCCCCACTTGCGTTCCCTCTCTCGCAGTCTCTAATAAATGAAATCTTTAAAAATAAATAAATAAATACACAAACTGGGCTGAAAGGAACCCTAGCAGTGTGCCGTAAGATACAAATAGCCTAAAATGGTGGCAAGCAGAACCAGCTGAAATGGGAGTTTCTGATAAGAGCAAGTATGACTCTCTGAATATTTAATAAAAGACCTTAGCCAAAAAACCTCTGATACATGGGGCTCCTGGCTGGCTCAGCGGGTAGAGCATGCGACCCTTCATCTCAGGGTCAGGAGTTCGAGCCTCACACTGGGCCTACATCTGGCTTAAACTAACAAAACGCCCTCAGATTCGGGCAGCGGTATGAAAGAACAGCTGGCTGGACCAGTTGGATCCCAGGAGAGCATGAGCCACCCAGTGCTCAGGGAGCAGATACCTCCCAAGTGGCCTCCTAGAGCACCTGGCTGGCCCCCAGCAACAGACCTCCAGACCCCCCCCACACCAACCTGAATAGTTTGGCCAACACCTTCAGAAGACAGCATACAGGTACGCTTTATTTTAGTCACAGGAGGAGTTTTTTTTTTTTTTTTTAAAGATTTTATTTATTTGACAGACCGAGATCACAAGTAGGCAGAGAGGCAGGCAGAGAGAGAGGAGGAAGCAGGCTCCCCGCGGATCATGACCTGAGCCGAAGGCAGAGGCTTTAACCCACTGAGCCACCCAGGCGCCCCGAGGAGTTTTTTAAAAAATCACTCACACGTACAAAATACACTGCAGGTTTTTTTCCTTCCTGACTTGGTTGACAGCATTATTAGCCCAAACTGTTATTTCTATTTTAGACCCAAAGATACAGAAACAGGAATAAGTCTTAATGTCTTTCAAGAAATCGAGAGTCAAGTCAGGTCTCTGGTGAGGGAGGCCTCTCAGGCCTGTGCCCTTGAAGACATACATATACTTACTGTCTCTCCTGGAAGGAAAAATGCAAAATAATCCCACTGTAACAAGAGAGGAGTTCAGAATTCCCATCACCACTAATTTCTCAACTTCCATGGTACTGTAAATCTAGGGCACAAACTTCAATTGGTCTATCAGGATTCTCGGGAAATGTCTTTGGAACCAAAATAAATGAAATACTAGAGGAGCCAACTTACCAAACTTGAAATATCATGGAGCACTTGCAATTCAGAAAGAAAGAGCAGATCAACCTTTAGAGGGCCAAAAGAAATAAGCACTATTTTAAATATGCATCCAAAATCTGTATTTGCCATTTATCAAGCAAGGCACAGGGCAGGATATTACAAATGTCAAGCACAGGAAGTGATTTTATGCAACAACTGTCCTCTATTTGGTAAGTTCATCTCAATTGCAAACGCACAGAAAAACATTTCCTAATAAAAATGTCATTCCCAGCACAGTGACCAGCACTCAATAGCTAGATCTTTGATAATGGTATGATAAAGCACCCAAACTCTCAAGTGGTTTTCCCTCAGGGCATCCCAGTACACGGACACTGTGGTGAGGCCCTGCCAGCGGCCCGCTCTGCTCACACTCCTTGAACACGTTCCCTATCGGAGAAGAAAAGATGGCGGTGCTGGTCGTCCATGGTACGTCAAGAGAAGAGGCTGCCACAAAGGTGGCATGCCACATGGTGAAGACAGCGGGTGACCGATAGGAGTCGCAAGTAAGAGTGCCTCCCTCCACTAGACTGCTGAGAATGAGCCAGAAAGAGGAAGCAAAGCATTAGAGATGGCAGTGAGTAACGGCCTCTACGTGACCAGACCGACACAGCTCTGCCAGTCAGTAGTTTGTGTGACTCCTGGCCCGTCTGCCTTACCTGGTGGCAACCCCTGCACGAGAACGAAATACTATTTATTCAAGTCACCAAAAACAGGTCTATTTGTTCATGAGATTCATTTAAAAATCCCACTGGACAATCTACTCCAGCACAGTAAACTTGCCAAACTTGTCATCTCCTAACATTCCACGTCTGCTCTAAAATGAGGGAGCATAAGACATGGAGAATCAGTAACGATATTCACGTATTCGATTCAATGACGGCGCGTCTTACTTCACTGTTTCTGCTCAGAGAATTGAGTGGAAGTGAATTGAGAACAGAGTTTTCTTGGAACAGGCGATTGCGGAGCTGTCGTAACGTGACGGAGAGATCTTCAAAGACCGAGTTCGCCTTCCCCACCATATACACTCTCTGCAAGGAGAATCCAAAATTTTGTTACAGTTTGCAGAAGAATTCCAATATACAGAATGTATATGAAAAAAATGTACATACACTACAGAGAGAGTATATGCAATTTTTCATACAAGTAGTTTTAATGTTTTCATTAAGGAAAACATTTTTTTAAAGCATCTTCAGTAAAAACTGCTTCACTTACCTCCTCACTGGGAGCCAACTGCAAAACTACAGGAGTTTCTTCAGAAAATAAGGAGTGAATGGAATTTGCAACGCTGTCAAGACTGAAAGGAACTGCCTGAAATTTAAGAGTAAGACCTCAATTATCGTTGGAACCCGAGGGGTAAGAAAAACCACTCAAAAACAAAAGAACCTTAAAAGAAAACAAGAACCCCCACCACTGAGGGAAATTCAGAAGACCCAAATCATTTCCAAACACAGCCCTTTTGAGGGCATGCATAAAACAGCCCCTTAGTGGGCCATGAGTCTGTATCTCCTGTATGTCTAGATGGGAAAGAACTTGCCAACATGAAGGACACAACACTCTTGCACAAGCCATCATTTTTTAGTGGCAGTTCATGTACTTTAAGCAATTCATTCAGTTTTAATATTGTGTCACAATGAATGTATATTCTATTTTTTATTTTTTTAATAATTTTTTAAAATATTTTATTTGACAGGGAGAGATCACAAGTAGGCAGAGAGGCAGGTAGAGGGGGTTGGGGGAAGCAGGCTCCCCGCTGAGCAGAGAGCCTGATGCGGGGCTCGATCCCAGGGCCCTGGGATCATGACCTGAGCCAAAGGCAGAGGCTTAACCCACTGAGCCACCCAGGCACCTCTAAATGTATATTCTATTATAAAGTATTGACTTGTGGGATGCCTGGGTGGCTCAGTCCATTGGTCCCGCATCGGGCTCCTTGCTCAGTGGGGAGCCTGCTTCTCCCTCTGCCTGCTTGTGCTCTCTGACAAATAAAATAAAATCTTTAAAAAATAAAAATAAAATAATAAAGAATAAAGTATTAACTTGTAAGAGGAAGTCTGAAGAATTTAAAGAATTAAATTTCACTGAAAGAGTACTAGACCTCATTTTTCATTCCAGAATTTAAAAAATGTTGGACTTAGGGTTTATCTCCAGATAGACTGAAGACTCAGATAAAGCATGTCACAGGAATTTTGAAGCCTCTATCTTGGGACCACATGATATCAAATTGAAATAACCAATTGTAGTAAAATCTACTTTTTTCTTGAATTTTTTATTAAAGTGTAACATACATACAACATAGTGCATAAATCCTGGGGTAACAGCTAGAGGAGTATTTCCAAATGGATACCTTCATAAAGCCTAACCAGATCAAGACAACATTATCAGCACTCTAAAAGGCTCCTCCAGCCATGCTCTCCACCCCCAAGGGTAACCAAAAATTCTGACTTCCATCCGCATAGATTAGTTTTTACCCATTTTTAAAAGAAGTTATGGTCACTCTTCCCTTCAAAAAATTGTTATTCTCAGTATTACTGTAGTAAAACAAGCAGCATGATAGTGTTTTAATGGAAATTTCTTAGTGATTTTTTTTTTTTTAAAGACTTTGTCAGAGAGCACAGGCAGGGAGAGCAGCAGGCAGATTCCCTACTCAGTAGGGAGCCCTGATGTGAGACTCGAACCCAGGACCCCAAGATCATGACCTGAGCCAAAGGCAGACACACTTAACTGACTGAGCCACCCAGGCATCCTTAATTCCCTTTACTACTGAAAGGTTAATAATTATAAGTAGCAAATTAATGCTAACATGGTACAAGCAGAAATAAGTATGATTAATCTTTGATAAATTTGATTTTGATGCTGGGATTTCATCTAGTTCATGATACTGTGAAATAAAACCAGTTTCTTTTTTTTTTTTTTAAACCAATTTCTTCTTAATCAAGATGTGTATTAACTCTTTACTGAATTCTGTTAAAATAAGTTGTGGAGTAACTGCGGAAGGGGGAAGAATCCCATTTGCGAAAGCACCCCGTCACAGCGCCCTCTCCTCCGGCCACCACACAGTTCACCTCCTCAAGCTTCGGAGGGAACATGAGCGCTGGGACACTCTCCCGCCTTTCACCTAGGGAAAATGGCACTTGTATCAGGAAAGTTGAAGATTAAAGGTAACATATCCTTAGCAATCAACCTGGAGAAGCTGCTGAGTCAGAGGAGAGCCAAACTGTGAAGGAAAAGAAAAAATAATACAGACCATGAAGCTCAAAAAGGAAAAAGCTCAACTGCTTAAAATCTCCTGTTTTCTTCCACTGTAGTACAACGAAGTGTGTGTTTGTCCTGGAGAGAATGAAATTTCTGTATCTACAGAACTTGAAATTCTAATGAAAGGCGCTAATCAAACAGAAGCTTCATTACGGAGAATTAAGACACTCTGGTTTGTTTTAGATTTTGTGGATTTTGCACTCTGAGTCTTGTATTTCATTCACCACCCACTGTCAAGAAAAGTATTAGCAGTCAGTCAGGGTCAAGCAACAACATGAGCTATTTTCACAGCTTCTACTCACATAAGATAAGGCTAGTGTGTTAAAAATGCTGAGTTCTGGACTGCACGCAAATTAAAATCTTAATAGCATTTTGGATTTGTATATATTTATTTTAAAGGGATCTTCAACAATGATTTTCACAGAAATTGCATTCTTGATATTACTCATATTAAATTCTTTTTTAAAACTGCCTTTGGATTTTTATGGTCTCCTTTCTTCCATTTATTCTAAAATTCTTCTGGTTCTTCAGCTCACTAATTTCCAGTCTTTTGAACATGTGCATTTAAGTGATCAATTTTCCCTTCCTTACCACTTTAGCAGCACCCCACCATTTTTAAACATACGATACATTCACTGATACTCAGTTTCAAATAATTTCAAAACTTACACTGTGATTTTTCTCTTCAACTTGTGAATTATCTGGGAGTCCATCTATTCCAACTAACTTTTCCTGCTGATTTTTAAAAAAAAAATTTTTAAGAGAGGGGCACCTGGGTAGCTCAGTCGGTTAAGCATCAAACTCTTGATTTCAGCTCAGGTCATGATCTTGGGTTCTAGAGAACAAACTCTGGGGGGTGGGGGGTGGCACAGGGTTCCACACTCCGTGGAGAGTCCACTTCTCTCCCTTTTCCTCTGCCTCTATCCTTCCCCCCAGCTCACATGCTCTTTTTTTTTTTTTTTTTAAAGATTTTATTTATTTGACACAGAGAGATCACAAGTAGGCAGAGAGAGGGGAAAGCAGGCTCCCTGCTAAGCAGAGAGCCCGATGCGGAACTCGATCCCAGAACCCTGAGATCATGACCTGAGCTGAAGGCAGAGGCTTAACCAACCGAGCCACCCAGGCACCCCTCACATGCTCTTTAAAATAAATCAGAAATGTTTTTAAGAGTTACATAGGAAAAACGATGATACAGTTTAAAGACACGAACAGGGGTGCCTGGGTGGCTCAGTAGGTTAAAGCCTCTGTCTTCAGCTCAGGTCATGATCCCAGGGTCCTGGGATGGAGCCCTGCATCAGGCTCTCTGCTCAGCGGGGAGCCTGCTTCCCACCTCTCTCTGCCTGCCGACTCTCTGCCTACTTGTGATCTGTCAAATAAATAAATAAAAATCTTAAAAAAAAAAAAAAAAAAAAAAAAAAAGAGAGACACAAATAGTTCTATGAGACTTTCCCTGAAAAATAAGTTTAAAGAAAAAAGTTTGCCTCCCCATTTCCCATTCCCAAGGCCCCCACTTTCAAATCCTTTGTTTCGGGGCACCTGGGTGGCTCAGTAGTTAAGCATCTGCCTTTGGCTCAGCTCATGATCCCAGGGTCCTGGGATCAAACATCAGGCTCCCTGCTCAGCAGAAAGCCTGCTTCTCCCTCTTGTCTCCCCTAGCTTATGTTTCCGCTGTCTCTGTTACATACATACATACATGAAAAATCCTTTGTTTCCTTTTCCTTTTGCCACCATCTCTAAATGTGTTTTTAACACTCCATCTTGATTTTTCCATTTGAGAAATCTATTTACTGCAGAGTATAAAAAATGAGGATTTAGCTCTCCCACGTCACCAACCACAGCAACCCCCCCCATAAGCACACTCCGTTTCTAGGTCTTCACCTTCCTAAGAGTCATAATTTTCATTGGATCCATATCATTTCACTATGATGACGATGTAAACTGTATTCTCGGCCTGCCCTTATACTGGACAATCACTGCTTTTCGGTTCTTGCTCCTCTAGTCCTTAATGGCAATGAGAAATCTGCTTTCTACTCATTCCTTTGAAAAGACAATGTCTTTTTTCTGATAGCTTTTAAGATTTCCAGTGCGCTTTAAACCTGAGGAACCATCTATTTTGCTCTTACCATTTCCAAATACATTTTTATTTACTTCTTATTTACTGAAGTACAGTTGACATGCAATATTATATTAGTTTGCAGGAGCACAACACCGTGATCTGACATTTATACACATTATGAGATGACTGCCACGGCAGGTCTGGTTACCATCTGTCACCAAAGTGACTGCAATATTATGGAGTGTATTCCCCAAGCTGTAACTTTATATCCGCGTGACTTGTTTATAACTGGAAGTCTGTACCTCTTCATACCCTGCCACTATTTACTCCATCCTCCCCACCCTTCCAAATACATTTTTAAGGTTTCGTTTTCAGATTTAACCGCACTGTGGTCAGAGAGGGTGGTCTGTTTATTTGATACTAATTACCCATTATTTGTTGCGATTTGCCTTATGGCCCTTTGTAACTATGTACATGGCCCTTCGTAACTATGTACATGGCCCTTCGTAACTATGTCATGTGTGCCTAGAAATTATTTATATTAGACCACAGAAAGTCTGAAAAATCCCCCCAAATCATCATACAGACCAGTCTTACAATGCCATGAGATTAGAAGCTGAAAAATTTAAAAAGTTATTTGAAAAGAACCCACACATTAAACACTTCTAAATAACTCCTGGGTTAAAGAAATCACCAGATAAATTATGAAATATTTAGATGTGAATATTAATTAATGCACCACATATCAAGGTCTTCGAACTGCCTCACGGTTTCTGTCCCTTTCTTGAACTCCTCCATGATCGTTAACATGTGGGTTTTCTTATCTCCTGGGGACTGGTCTATTACCTGTAGTTCTAAGGGGATGAATTTGGTTTTTGCACCTGAGGACTTGCTCATGGCATTTTTTCCTCGAAAGTGCTCTGTAAATTACGTATCTTCTTCTTCTTCTTCTTCTTTTTTTTTTTTTTTTTTAAACCAAAGCAGCCCTGGGCGGTGCAGGCATCCCAATGGGGTGGGTCATGTGAACTGGGAGCACACAGCCCTGCAGAGCTTGAGCCTGGAGTTCCGATTTCCCTTAGGGGACACTTGGGGTCCTCCCGCCAAGAGAAGCCAGCCAGCTCCTCCGTGGCAGTCCTGGGGCAGCTGGGGTTTTACTAGCGCTCCTCCCGAGAACAAGACATTTTATAGCCTCCGGCTTTCTGCAAGAAACTCGGAGCTCTGGTTCACCACTGTGGCTCCTGAGCTTTCTGTTCCTATCTGGCAGCTCTGTGTATCCCTGCCTTGCTCGAAAGTTCAGCTACGTGAGGTCTCAGTGGATGACTTCTCTGCGCTGGCAGTGGACAGAGGGCCTCTCACGACAGCTCGGCCTGCCCTACTACCTGAAAAGCCAGTGAAGGAGCAAGTGAACCAGCAAAAGAGCTTCCAGTCTCCTACTTACACAAAATCTCAGGTAAAATTCGGATGGGAAGGTGACAAGATAATGGACAAGAAAATGTAGACAAGAGAAGGGTGTTTATAACAAAATTCAAAACGACAGCTGACAAGATTAAAAATGCATGCCTTTAATTTTTTCTAATACTCACATTCTCCAGAGGGTACGAAATGACACGGCCCGGGGGCAGAGCAAGCTTGTCGACTCCCTTCACCATCACCATCACCGTAGCCCGAGGACGATGGAACAGGTTTCCCACTGCAAGTCCTGGCCAAGAAAGGTCCTAAACATTGGAAAGCAGGAGATGGCGCTTAATTATCCACTCCAGGAACCATTTCCCCAACAACGGGCACTGAGCAGAGTCAAGGGGCTCCTGGACGACCCTGGCTATAAAAATTCAAGGGCGGGAGGGAGAGACGGGGGCGGCAAACATTTCATTTAAGGCAGCAGTTGCCATCTCCAAACCAGGGACAGGGATTTCGACCTTCATGTTCTCAAACTTCCACAGATCTACAACAAAGTCTACTAGCAAGTCCTCTCAAACTTTTTGTGGAAGAAAGCGGACAAGTAAACAAAATGCAGGTCATTTTCAAATCCCAGATTACAAGCTCTTCTTCACAGAACCATGGGCGTCTTCTCCCCCCACACCGTCACTTGCCCTTAAGGACAGCCTGGCTTTTCTCTTTCATAAGGACGCAGGAGAACTGCCCTTGAAAGTCTTCTCTTCAGACTAAGCTTGTCATACATCAAATTCCTGCTGAACGTAGCTCACATTAATTTACTAATAATTATTTCTCAGGGTTACTTTGACAGCCATTCGTAATCAAATTTAAGTCCGTGAAGGAGGTACAAACTTCATCCTTAAATGTAAGCAACCAGCCACCGCCCTACAGGGAGCTCAGGGGCTCCAGCCCCAGGCCCGGTGGAGCAGCTCCCCCGCACTGCTTCTGGCTTCAAGGGCACTCAGGACCCAGGAGGAAAGATCCTTTGGCTGACTGGTGGTATCTAGAAACCACAGTTTCTAGCCCCCAAGTTCCGAAGTGGGAAAGAGAGAAGTGGGAAGACAGCAAGACAGAGCAGACTGCATCCGTCTCCATGCCCTCAGCCGCAGACCTCTCGTCCCCCCAGGCTCTACACCCCCTCCACCAAGTCACGCAAGCAGCCAGGTACTCAATGGCTTACGGCTTCACTCCCACAGTTACTAATGGCACTAAATTCTTAGACTCAAGCAGGATGCAGATACATTTTATCATGTATAATACACTGCAATAGACTGAACGTGTGTCCCCCCCAAAAGTCACATTGAAAGCTATTCCCCAATGTGACAGTATTAGCGGCGGGCCTTAGGGAGGTTATTAGGTCATGAGGACAGAGCCCTCACAGTGGGCTGAGTGCCTTAAAAAAAGGAGCCCAGAGAGTTCTCAACTTCTCCCCACTATGTGAGGACACGAAAAGAAGTCAGCAGTCTGCAAACTGGAAGAGGGCCCTCACTAAGAATCCGATGGGCTGGCACCCTGATCTTAGACTTCTCACCCTCAAAACTGTGAGAAATGAATTTCTATCGTTTAAGCCATCCAGGCTATGGAATTTTCTAACAGCAACCCAAACTGAGACATACATCTATTGTGTACTGAAAAAAAAATAAAATTGTACATCCTATTAATGGGGCAGATAAATTCTCATATATGAAGAACATCAACACTATGAATAATTACATGGTTAATGATTGATGATGATTTGGTTTCATAAGCCAAGCTTGTAGCACGTCTCCAAATCTCCTCGACTACAAATGAGTTTTGCTTTTGTAATCTGTACCAAACATACCTACGTCTGCTTCTTGCTTTCTTGGGCTGTTAGCAGAAAAATCAACAAAAATACTTTCAGAAGTAGCTTCCAACATCTTTTTTAAAATACACATTACTTCTGGGCGCCTGGGTGGCTCAGTGGGTTAAGCCTCTGCCTTCAGCTCAGGTCATGATCTCAGGGTCCTGGGATCGAGCCCCACATTGCGGGCTCTGCTCAGCAGGGAGCCTGCTTCCCCCTCTCTTTCTGCCTGCTTCTCTACTTGTGATCTCTATCAAATAAATAAATAAAATCTTAAAAAAAGAAATACACATACTTCCTTAACAGAGAAGCCCATGGACAATGCAGCCACGTCTGGGATTCGTTCTCCTGGTATAGGCCAATTTCCATCTCGGAAAACAACAGACCCAGGTGATCTTAATATACTAAACTCGTTCCCCAAAACACCTGGAAGAAAACAAATTTAATAAATGATCAACATCATACATCTTTTGCACCCACGTAGAAAATTATTAAATATAAAACATGTTTACCCATTCTCCGCTGACTTAAGATACTACGTATTACTGGACAAAATGCCGAATCCCAAACATCAACAAATTCTTTTTCAAGTATTGCTCTACAGAAACAAGGTACATACATTCTGCAGAGGCACACTGATGAAACAGGATTCTCCCAATAATCAAAATGCCTTCCTACAGGTGTCCCTTAAAACAGGGGCAATCAGCGAATCGGCAAGAATTAGAAATCAATGGCATTTCTCCAGAATTTAAAAAGCAAACGAGGGGCGCCCGGGTGGCGCAGGCGGAAGGGCATGCAACTGCTGATCATGAGGTCCTAGTGTTGAGGCCCATGTTGGATACAGAGATTAAGTAAATAAATAAAACTTTAAAAAATAAATAGGGGTGCCTGGGTGGGTTAAGCCTCTGCCTTCGGCTCAGGTCATGATCTCAGGGTCCCGGGATCAAGCCCCTCACTGGGCTCTCTGCTCAGTGGGGAGCCTGCTCCCTGCCCCACCCTCCCCATCCCCACCCCGGCGCTGCCTCTCTGCCTACTTGTGATCTATCAAATAAATAAATAAAATCTTTTCAAATAAATAAATAAATAGATAGATAGAGGCACCTTGGTGGTTCATCAGTTAGGCAGGCATCTGTCTTTGGCTCAGGTCATGATCCCAGTGTCCTGGGATGAGCCCTGTGTCAGGCTCTCTGCTCAACAGGGAGTCTGCTTTTCTTCTCTCTCTCTCTCTCTCTCTCCCCCGTGTTCTCTCCCTCTTGCAAATAAATAAATAAAATCTTTTAAATAAAAAGCAAACAAACCCCTGGCACAGACTAAAAAGAAACTTGAAATCTCTAAATTATTTCTGCCATCCACCCTGTCTTCAAAATGCAAATTCATAAAATTCCTAGTATTTCACTCTAAAACTCGAGCAAGTCACCAAATCTTAGGATAGAGATTTTTCTTCACATCCCATAAGCAAACCTAATGAAATGAGGACAGTCAAAGGCAGGGGGTCGGAGGGGGACTGGGCACGTTACTAGTCAGAATAGAAACACTGCAGACTTCTTAGAAGCCAAGTGTAAGAAACAGTATTTCCAACGGGTGTATCAAGAGGCTGAGAACAGGATTTCTGTAATAATAAAGCCAGCAAGTCTTAGGGTAAGGAGCCTGAGATAAACAGATCAAGGATGAGAATAAAGGGCCTGCCTGTTTGATAAGCCCTCCAGAGATGAGGTATCTGGCCTCTTTAGCCATTCTATGTTAACCCAAGGATGTCCAGCTTGCACAAAGACAAGTAACTTATGGAAACTTTCAGATTTCTATGAAAAGATCAGCTCCAAGTCCAAAACAAATCTTGGCCCATGCTTACCTAGCATGGGAAAATCAGACTTCAGTAAAGCATCACGGTTATTCTCTTGACCTAAGGAAAGCACCACTTACAGGGTATGGGAATACAGTCAGAAGCAACAATAAATGTTTTGGTGTTGCAGTATTGACAGTAAATAAAAGGCCTCAGGATGGTGCTGATACAACATGAAGAGTTAGAAGTTTCAGTTCTGCACAGCTGCCAGAGCAGGAATTTTCCAAAATGTTCTAGCCGAAGGCAGGCCAAAAAGAAGAGCAGCGCGGAATGGTTGTCGGTAACTGACAGACATCCTGGTTCACGACAGCAGTGCTCACTGCCAACGCTAAGGAAAATGGGGCAGCAAGAGACCTACCCTTTCCAAGTACCATACGTGAATTTAAAGAACCATATTCGGTTCTGGAGATAGTCCTGTTTGCCCTATTCGCTCAAACCTAGCAAAGAAAGCTCTGCTAAATTACTTTGCCCCAACACCGTAGGTAGACTCCCCACTTCTGTGCCTGCATAACAATCCTTCGGGAACCCTGGGCTTTTAGAAAACCTTATAGGTGAGGCCTCCTAGACTGAGAAACTGCTGCTTAATCCAGGTTTCTCCTGGAGATCTAACAGGAAGTCATCCATTCTCTACTAGAATATACCAGTCAAGGGGAATGCTGCCTCAACTTACAAACCCAATGTTGGCCAGCAGTCATCTCCACTGTCCCAATTTTCCAATCCCCCCAAAAGTCCCTTGTGGTACTCAACTGAAATGAGCTTCCCAACTTCTTGCAACTTATTTTATCACCTCTGCCTCAGTCTTACCAAATAACCTCACCTCCAGCTTGGAAAGAGAGCAGGGGAATCCAGCCCACTGCCTGCTTCCTCTCCCCACCAACCACAAATTTATCTGCACCGGTGTCTGGCCTTATCTTCTCTCCCTCCAGAGGCTGGCAGGGACGTCCCTCCTCCAGTCTAACATGATCCCCGCATTCAGCCTTCTCAGGGACCTTCATTCACTTACCACTTAGTCATTCAGTGTTTATCACAGGCCGCTATTCTGGGAGGACAAGGGTCAGGAGTTAGGGCGCTATGTGGCTGCAGGCATAAAAAGCTCGCCCGTAGGACAGAAGCTCCACGAGGGCAGGGATTTCCATTTGTCTTGTTCACACAATATCCCCCAGGAGCTGAAAACAGTGCTTGACACAGAGTGCTCAAAAAATAGTTGCTGAGTTCATGAACGAAGCCACGCCTCACACTACCAACTTCCCCCTTTCAACTGGCTCTTTCAGCATAAAAATACACTTTGGGGAGGGAGGGGACCCTGGGTGGTTCAGTCGTTAGGTGTCTGCCTTCAGCTCAGGTAATGATCCCAGGGTCCTGGGATCCAACCCCACATCGGGCTCCCCACTCCGTGGGAAGCCTGCTTCTCCTTCTCCCACTCCCCCTGCTTGTGTTCCCTCTCACTGTGTCAAATAAACAAAATCCTAAAAAAAAAAAAAATTCACTTTGGGTGCACCCCTTCTATACGACAATCACAAAACCCCTCCTCTGGTCCTACCAGCCTCAGCCTCCCTTCAGAGAAAGGATCCTGGAAGAGCAGCCAATGACTCTTTGCTTCTCTATTTCTACATCTCACATTACCACCTAACCCACAGCTCTGGACTCCCCTGTGCCACCGAAATGCCTCACCAAATCCAAAAGACAATTTCAGCCCTTAATTTATTTAACTTCTCACAGCACCTGATCCTGGGCAACTACCTCCTTAAAAGTCCCCTGACTTGACCTGCATGAAGCCAGGCCATGCCCCGCCCCCCCCCCCCCGCAAGTCCCTCTAGCAGTTTTCCCTGTTTCTTTCCCTTTCATATTTTAAAACAGAGATGGCCAAACTTTTTCGATTTCAACTCTTTCGGTACAAAATTTGAAAGCAGCCCCAACATAGATATATTTATTTATAAAGGACACTCTTGTAGAATATCTGTACATTCATAATATATTTCAAAGCACACAAAAACAAAATTTTTAAAAGGATGAGATACTTGTGTAATATTTTCCCCAATTTAATCAGAAGAAAACATGAGACAAACCCAAATTTTTTTTTTAAAATTTTATTTATTTGAGAGAGAATGAGTGAGAGAGAGCATGAGAGAGGAGAAGGTCAGAGGGAGAAGCAGACTCCCCAAGGAGCTGGGAGCCCGAAGCGGGATTCGATCCTGGAAGTCCGGGATCATGACCTGAGCCGAAGGCAGTTGCTCAACCAACTGAGCCACCCAGGCGCTCCTGAGACAAACCCAAATTGACGGACATTCTACAAAATATCTGATCAGGGTGCCTGGGTGGCTCAGTGGGTTGTCTCTGCCTTTGGCTCGATCTCAGGGTCCCAGGTCTCAGGGTCCTGGGATTGAGCCCCGCATCAGCCTCTCTGCTCAGCAGGGAGCCTGCCTCTCTGCCTACTTATGATCTGTCTCTGTCAAATAAATAAAATCTTTCAAAAATATCCGATCGTTACTATTAAAAAAAAAAAGGAGGTAAGAAAAGCTATCAAGTTCTAGTATCTTCTTCTGGAATCCCAAGAGATCACCTAGCATACTCCACTTTTGAGATCTGAGGGCTCCATTCTTGAAACTTGCTGCTTTTCTATCCTATATCCCTTTCCCTGGCTGAGCCTATCTACGACTCAGGCAGCAAACGCCAGAAACACTGATGGCTCCCAGACTTTAACTGCCAGCCCAGACTGCTCTTCTGCCTTAGACCTACGTACCCAACAGCCTGCTATGCATTCCACCCCCCTCCCTTTTTTAAAAAGCATTTCCTTCTAAGTTCCATGAGTCCTTCAAACTCAGCAAGTTCCAAACTGAACTGACCCTCCTTCCACACACTCCCTTTGTATTCTCTATCCGGAAGGATGACAGCACCTTCCAGACAGCTGCCCCCACTGGCCATCTTTAAATCATTCCTCAGCACCACAGCCCATCACTGAATTCCACTGATTTTTTTTTCTTATCTCAAAAACTTTCCCCTCCAGGTCCAGTGCACACTCCCAGGCCCTTACCGAGCTTGCCAGAACTGGCCGCCTTATGACCTGTCTCACACCACTCTGAGCCAGCCTTTCCAGCACCTTTTCAAAACACAAGTGTGTTCATTCACCCATCAGCTTAACCACCTTCACTCTGCAGCCCAGAGCTTCTGAGACAAAACCCTAAACATAACACCCAAGGAACCTCACCAACCTTACTTCTGGGGGCTCCGCAACTTAACCCTTATACATTCCAGCGCCACCAAACTATTGGCTCTTTTGCTCTCACACAGGCCTTTCTGTCTAAACTGCCCCCCCCACTACCTATTTCACATATTTGCCCATGAGACATTCCCTGCCCCAGGGGTCGGGGGGAGCTCCCTCCATCTCCCCATCCCGGGCTAGGGGGTAAGTATCCTGCCCTTTGGGAACTCCCACCATGCTATGCTGTGATCAATGAACAGTGGATGGAATCAATAAGTGAAAAAATAAATAGGGGGGCGCCTGGGTGGCTCAGTGGGTTAAGGCCTCTGCCTTCGGCTCAGGTCATGATCCCAGGGTCCTGGGATGGAGCCCCGCATCGGGCTCTCTGCTCAGCGGGGAGCCTGCTTCCTCCTCTCTCTCTGCCTGCCTCTCTGCCTGTGATCTCTGTCAAGTAAATGGGTAAAATCTTAAATAAATAAATAAATAGGTCCTACTCTTGACCTCTGGGGCATCACTGATAACATCAAATCCCTCTTCCACATTACACTCCTTCAAGTTCCACGTGTTTGCCCTTGGCCTTTCCTCTCCAGGACAAGCATGTTTTTCAAATACTCCTCATGACATGGTATTCATAACCCTAGTTCCCTTCCTCTAGTCTCTCTCGGGTTTAGTTAACACCATTTTAAAGGACTTATTTACTTCCTCAAATAGAGAAGTCCAATCTCTTAGAGAGGTTTTCCACTAAATCACATTTAGTCATTGTGGAAAATAGTAATTTAACCTCAGGTGACAAGACCAAGGAATACAGAAACTGACAAGACCAGATTCTTAGTCTGTATGAACTAGACTATTCTAGTTAGGAAAGCATGCTCAAACGGTGTACAGAAGCAAATACTTTGCCTCAGACCAAAACAAACCAAAAAACCCCGAAACTTCACCGAATCAAAGTAATATCAGTCAACATTAAAAGACAGCATTTCAATAGGGGTTGAATATTCAGTTAAATCACACTATGGAAGGAAAGATTTTTAAATTTCGAAAACGGAATTTAAAACAAAAGAAAAACATCCCTCAAAATAACTTACTAGATAGATCAGGATAACCATTCCGGAGCCAGAAGCAGAAACCAAAGGAACAAAACATCCCTAAAACCTTAGGGATATGAAAGTAAGTATAATTATCATTGACACACAACCCTGAGCACATCTCCAGGAATGGAGCAGACCTGCAGATTTCAAGACCGTCGGTGGCCTAAACCCTCATGCAGAATTAAACCACCATTCCAAAAGTGGGTCGGGTCATCCCAACACCTCACACAGATTTTTAAGCTATAGGTTTTAAACAGAGCCGCATTTCTCCAAGTTCTCAACTTGGCCTCTTGTTCGCCACTGTCTGAGCCCCCAGTCCACGCCCCCATCATTCCCAATCAGGAGCATTTCCATCACCTGTGCCACAATACACATAATGATGGAAAGACCCATGCTCTGGGGCCAGCTGATCCGGGTTCAATTCCATCTTTGCTGCTTACTACCTGCGTGTTGTCGGGTAATTTATTTAAGCTTGACTACCCTGTAAATCGAGGATGACGTCCTCTTCTAAGGACTACTGTAAACTTAAATGACTCAAACGATTCACAGTAAGAGGCCAAATACTAGCGGACTTGCTGAACAGCAGGGAACCTAGGTTCCACTCAGAAAGCTACCATTTACTTGACAAAGGACTTTCAGAACGTGACTCACATCTTAGTTTCCAAATGCTTAAAATGGAGAACCCTGAAAAACTACTCAGAGGTACTCTGAATTTGCCTTTAGAAAGAATCCTACAAAAACAATTACCACACCTCCAACTTTTGTATTCTGAAACACGTAAAGGAGAAGACTTCACCAATTACCGATGACAACCGCTAGGAAGGAAAACAGAAAAATGCAAGAAAACGCAGCATCTGATGGCAGCTCAGAGGTCGGCTTTCCCTTCCTCGCAGACGACTGCGGTTCCACAGTTAATTGGGAAATGCATCCCCCCGCCTCCGAAGCCGGAAGACACAGGCGGCGGGATACGCGGCAGCGCCTTCCTGGAAGAAGCGGAGGGTGGAGGCCGGCTCAGGTGCCCCCACGCAGCCCGGCCCCGCCCTGGCACCTCGCCAGAACTCGCCGCCACGGGTCGGTCGGACGAGAAGGCCCAGAGGGAGGCGGCTGGGGCGAGGCCGCCGCCGGTTGCCCGCACTGCGGCACCCGCCCCGCTGCTGCCCACCTGCGGCCGCCCCCGACCCCCCGAGGCTCCCGGCCACTCCTAACGCCCCCCGGCCGCCCCGGTCCTCACCCGCCGCCAACAAGGACAGGAGCACCACGAGCGCAGCCATGGTCCCCCGGTGGCTTCAACAGCAAAGGGCGGCACGGACCGGGCCGGCGGAACGCAGGCGACCACCGCAGCGATAGTGGATGACGCGCTCCGCCTCGTCCCGATTCCTTGAGACCGCCCCGTCGTCGCCTCCGCTGGGACGCTGCCGCCTTCTCCACCAATCGCCAGCTACGTCGCGGCCTGCGCGACGGGCGCAGGCTGAGGAACGCCAGCCTTATGGGCGGGGCCTAACGTGATAGATGCAAGGCCCCACCAATGGCAGGCAGCAATCGGAGAGCCGGGCAGCTCCGCCCCCCGGCCCGTGACTACCAGTCACGAGGTGGAGCGTAGGGCCGAGGGTCGGGGATGTGGGGGATGACGGATCCCTTGGAAGGATCCAGAGTGCCCACGGGATGGGGCTGCCGCCCAGTTGCGGATCCCTTGGCGAATCTCCAGTGATGGTCTCCAACCGGGGTGTCTGCCTTTCCCGGTGACTTGGCTCCTCCCCGCTACGGGTGCAGCTGTGGAAGCTGCGGGGTTGGTTTGGATTTCGTTCTGATAATTGAACAGATGCTGAGCACCTGCTGGGTAGAAGCCTGGCGCCTCCGGGAGGACCTGCTCTCCAAGCAGGAGTGCCAGATAAAATACAAGACGCCTAGGTAAATTTGAATTTCAGATGAACCACGAATGCTTTTTAGTATAAATATGTCGTGAATATTTCATGGGGCATGCTTATGCTTAAAAAGTATTCGTGGTTCATCTGAAATTCACATGTGACTGGGCGTCCTATATCTTGATTTGCTAAATCTGGTAACCCTATCTCCTAAGACTCTCCTATCCACCAGGAGTGACAGAACAAGAACATTAATTACTTCCTTCATCCATTTGCTCAGTGATAGGTGAGGACTAGACCTCCTATTTAGATCTTCTCTTCTGACTTTCAAGAGTTTTTTGCCTATAACATATTTTCTTAAATTTAAATTTTAGTTAACATACAGTGCAACATTGGTTTCTGGAAATAGGATTCAGTGATTCATCACTTACATATAATAACCAGTGCTCATCATGTGTTTTTGGACTAGCATTGTTGGGGTCCGGAACCGTGGCCGAGAAGGAATTCGTGAGACCTCTTTGGTGCAAAAAGGTGCTTTTATTGAAGCACCAAACAGGACCCGTCGGGAGAAAGATCAGCTGCCCTGGGATTGTGAGGAGCAACTGATTACATACTATGAAGTTGGGGGAGGTAAAGAGATGGGAAATTCCAAAAAGGATTTTCATATGCAAAAGAAGACTCACAGGATACTGAAGGCCTTTCTATTGTCAAGCTAAGGTAGTTTTCCCCTTTAGCAAGGCATTAACATTAAGACAGTAGGGAGCTTCCTGGAGGAACGTTACACTTGGCCTGCCTCAAGTATTTGTCCATAGGCTGCAGGTTATAAGGACCTTTAATTTTATCTACATTTCCTTCTGCCATTGTCTCCCACATCAGACACAAGTTTTTTGCCTATGATGTTAAGCAAGAAGTGACACTGCGTAGCATCTAAGATCAGAAAAGGATGCCCCCACCCAAGACCTTGAAAGATGTTCATGGTTTCAATATGCAGGTATAAAAGAGAAGGGGTGGTTCTGGCAGGTAAGCAAAAACTGTAAGGAGCACCATGGAGAAAGCCTGTGAGGTTGAACAGTAACTGTTAAATTTAACCAAAGAAGAGATCATATGGGGGAGGGGCACATAGGGCTAAAATGTTCATTTAGGGACATGTTTATTGAGAATGTTAAATGTTAAATAAAAGAACTACACATCAACTGACAGGAAATGGGGAGCCAATGAAGGTGTTTGAGCTTTGTAAAGTGCACAAATGCCAAGACAGACTTGTTGGGTCACGGGGGGTAGGGGGGGATGCCCTACTGTTTACATAGTTTCTGATCTCCATTTTCTTCTTAGGATTAATTGAAGGAGAAAATAAGAGATGGCTTGAAAGCAGTGATCCCAGGAGTTTCTCAGGTAGCAGTCCTATGCCAGGAAAAACTTGCCCAACTCAAAACAGAAATCAGAATGTTATGCCCCAATAATGGGTCCGTGATTAAAGGAGCGAGACTGATACAAAGCGAAGGTCAAGCAAAGCTTTATTTCGCGCCAAGCATCAAGAATCTAACGGAACGTTCGGGGCCGCACCTCTTACAAGAGAGGGTGACCCTTCTCTGTTTCACAGTCTAGCTTTTAAGGGCAAAGGCCATGCGGTCGGGCCTGGCCACGCACAGGTGGCCAATGAGATTGTAACACACACAGGAAACTCCACAGTGATGCTAGGTGACCAACTGAGTTACAATTTACCCTAGTAGACATTTGAACCAGCCTATTACACCTTGATTGGGATTGGAGCCCAAAAGGCTCCCAAAGGGTGGGGCCCATACTCCTTGGTAACCAGGGTGACAGTATGCATCCCCCCACTGATCGGATGTCTCCACCTGGCCTGACCCACCTTTGTATCTGGGCTTTGTTACCTGAAGCTGGTTTCCGGGACTTGTCTCCAAGTAAATCCCCTGGGGGAAGGGGAGCAGGGACAGTTTCTAAATAGATCCTTACAAGAACACTCCCCAAATACTCAGTTTTGAACTTTCTAGAATGCACTATTCTTACCAAAGCCACTCTCAATTTATGAATGGAATCTGGATCTCCTCATTCAACTTCAGAAAACTCTTGACTCTCAAATTTGCATTCTTTCAAAGAATTTGCACAAATGTAACTTTTTCTTAAGTTTTAATTTCTTTAAGTAATCTCTACACCCAATGTGGGGCTCGAACTCACAACCACGAGATCAAGAGTTGCCTGCTCTTCCGACTGAACCAGCCAGGTGTCTCTGTACAAATGTGACTTTAAAGAAATCTGACAGGGAAATAAATATTTTTAAAAAGGGGGGTGGGGCACCTGGGTGGCTCAGTGGTTAAGCCTCCGGCTCAGGTCATGATCCCAGGATCCTGGGATGGAACCACGCATTGGGCTCCCCGCTCAGTGGGGAGCCTGCTTCTCCCTCTCCCAGCCCCCCTGCTTGTGTTCCCTCCCTTGCTGTGTCTCTCTCTGTCAAATAAAATTCTTTAAAAAAAAAAATCTGAAAGGGGAAGAGATAATTTTCCATTAGGAATGTGAAATTATTAGATTACCAAAAAAAAATCTAAAGTAGCCTCAACTCTGAAATGACTGGCTTGGGGGGGCGGATCAATAAAAATTTAATAATTTTTTTAGAAATTCATTTTTAAGAACGATGGAGTCATTTCTCTTTACATCAACTAAAATTTTATTTTTCGTCCATCTTGCTGCATATCCTAAAACAGATTCTAAACCAAAGGCCCTGAGTTTGTCTAAATAAACCTTATTTGGGGCATAATCAGCTAAAAGTGGAGCAGACCTCCCACCATTTCATCCAGCCTAAAGAAACAGGAAATGGAGTGGATTTTTCTATTCTTGAAAGAGTTCTAGAACCTTCTTATTTCTTTTAAATTGAAGAAGACCAAAAATACTATAGATGGAGCATAAAATCCCTCTTCTTTCCCCTCCCCACAAGAAAACCTCAAAGTCTCTTCTATACTCTGTGTCTTGAGACAGGCCCCTTTTTTGAGCTAGGGGTGATTATCTTAGCCTTTAAATCTAACCCCCCCTTTCCTCGGAGGTCTCCAAGGGGCATCACTGCTCCTTATAGCCTTGGAATTCAGCAAGATAAACACTGTAGGAAGCTTTCTCTTTGTTTCATAGATTGAGAGATTGAAACCTGGGGAAGGGCATGTGTACTCAAGGTCACGTTTTGAATTGTCCTCAATTCTGCTTCTTGTATGTAGCCCTCCTGATTTGGATCTTTAGCGCTCAGCAAACAATCAGTGATGTGAGTGTGGTTAACTTTCTCATGGAAGCATTTAGAGGTGGATATGTGTGTGGCGGGATAATATATGAACTAATGACCCACATTTAGCTTAAAAGAAGCCTCCTTCTCCACCTTCCTCACACCTCTCCTCCCTAGCCAAATAGCCAAGACTCCTGTCATTCACTGCCCCGTGGGGAGATTCTCAAAGAACTAGGAAACAATGATGTCAAATTCTTGGCTCTTGAGTTTTGAGAGGTCCAGATACAAGATTTGAAAGAATACACAGTTCTGTTTTTTTCTCTAATTTTGCCCCCCTCCCCCCACCCCATGAATTCCAGCAATAAATTCTGAGTAATCCCAGAGGCAGCACTGAGATGGCTTGGTTCCCACCAATCAGCCATCAGGGAGCTCTGTGGAGGTCAAGATCATGCCACGCCCCCAGCCCAGGCAGCCGCCTCTCAATTAAGATTAAGAATTTCTGGGGCACCTGGGTGGCTCAGTGGGTTAAAGCCTCTGCCTTCAACTCAGGTCATGATCCCAGGGTCCTGGGATGGAGCCCCGGGTCCAGCTCTCTGCTCAGCGGGGAGCCTGCTTCTGCCTGCCTCTCTGCCTACTTGTGATCTCTCTCTGTCAAATAAATAAATGAAATGCTTTATAAAAAAAAGATTAAGAATTTCTTTTTAAGGGTGCCTGGCTGTCTCAGTTGGAAGAGGGTGCAATTCTTGATCTTGGAGTCATGAGTTCGAGCCCCACAATGGGTGTAGGGATTGTTTATATTAAAAAAAAAAAAAACTTACTAAAAGGAGCACCTGGGTGGCTCAATCGGTTAAGCGTCTAACTTTGGCTCAAGGTCGTGATCCTGAGGTCCTGGGATTGAGTCCTGCATCGGGCTTCCTGCTGAGTAGGGAGCCTGCTTCTCCCTCTCCCTCTGTTGCTCCCCTACTTGTGCTCTTTCTCAAGTAAATAAATAAAATCTTAAAAAAAAAACCCTTAAAAAAAAAAGAATTTCTTTTCAAAAGATGCCATATACAGAATGGAGAAGTTGGGGGAGGAGCGGTGAGGGAAGAGTAACTCTACAGTGGAGAAAACTGACAAACACGACCTCAGCCAGATGATCAAGGCCAATGTCACTAGTGACAAACGATGTCAATAGTGTGTAGTCTTGATATCATGTGATAAGAACAGCACTTTACTCTATGGCCTACCTCCCCAAACCCATAACCCCAGTCTAATCATGAGAAAAACATCAGACAAACCCCAATCGAGGGACATCCTACAAAATAACCGATGAGAAGTACATAGAGGGAGCTTTTAAGTAAATTATATCAGGCGACCCACCTCAAGATACCCATAGGCCCTAACTGACCAATGGGCTACTTACAACCAGG